GTCCCTAATTTAGCAGTGTAAGACTAGGGGGAAGGCAGCTAATCAACACAACCCATCGCCAACTCTTGGGCTACTCTTTTACCAACAAATAGTGGGATTTACCGTCACATTATAACGCCCCCACAGCTGAAAGGGCGAGCATGTTTGGTGTGATGGGGATTCGAACCCGCAACCCTCAGATTGCAAATCGAGCGCCCTACCACCTGGCCATAAAACTTCGGAAGCTATAACTGTGATTGTCATAACGCTTACCAATCGGAAAACTTCAGATATTTGACCAGAAACCTTTACAAAGTTCGAACATTACAAATTATTTAACTTCAGTGGATTCTCATCAGGACATTAGTATTTTTACAAAAACATTACCCAACTTCAATGGTGGAAAATCTAGCATGTGTGGCCAAGGACAAAGATAGCTAGCTTCCCGGCAAATCGTACTTACATCAACTCATAATTAACTCGCTCATCGTAACCATTGATAAGATATCAAGGGAGTTCTAAACTAGAAAGATTTTATATTGTTTGTAAGTTTGTGAAACTTTTATTTAAAAATGTTTGTTTGCAATAACTATTTGTAATAATTGTTACTGTAAATTGTATTGTTGTGTGTATATTAAAACATATTTGTGTTTAAAAATGAAGACAGTGTGTATCAATCTTGTTGGCAAATATCATAAACTGACTATATATTGGCTTTACTCAACTACTAAATATATTGGCTTTAATTTAACTACTGAATCCAAAGTACAATTTAACTACTAAATTTAAATTATCAGTTAAATCGGCTTTGGACTATACGAAATTCTAATACGTAACAAAATTTGATCTAAATTAAAATTGAAATCACAATTGAATTTATATTTATCAGTGCCAACAAGATTTTATTATCAAGATTTTCTTGTATCATCCTCCCCAGAACAACTAGAAAAATATAACAAAAAAGAAATTGCTCAAAATTTCCAAAATTTTAGAACTAGAATTTAAGAGATCAATGAGAAAAAAATGAACTAAAAATTGTATTATCGAAATACTAGTTGATGATGATTTGTTGCCTGAGGAAGCATTAGAGGAATACTCTAGTGTCCCTTCTAGCCAATCGGGGTTGAGTGATAAAGATAAATTAGGGATCCAGCTAAAACTCAAACAACTCAAGCTCGAATCGAGGCCGAGAAAGAACTAGCTCAAATCAAAGCCGAGAAAGAACAAGTTCGTATTGAAGCTCAAAGAGAAAACAAAAGTCTCGAGGGAAAAAAAAGCTCGCATTTCAGCCGAAAAAGAAATTAGGTTGAAAGAAATGGAAATTAGACTCAACACTGATTGACCAAAGCAAAATGACAACTTTGAACTTAATTGATATGTTTAAGTATCACCATTTAATGAAAATGAAGTTGATAAATATTTCCAACATTTTGAGAAGGTTGCCCAAGCCATAGAATGACCCACCAAAAAATGGTCATTATTATTACAAAGTGTTTTAACTGGTAAAGCACAAGAAGCTTTTGCTGCTCTCTCTTTAGAAGATTGTATGAATTATGATAAGGTTAAAGTAGCTATTCTCAAAGCATACGAGTTAGTACCAGAGGCTTATTGTCAAAAGTTTAGAGCTTATCACAAACAAGATAATCAAACTTGCATGGAATTTGCCCACGAAAAAGAGGTTTATTTTGATTGATGGTGCAATTCTATGCATAATGGCAACAGTTTCAACAAACTAAGACAATTATGCCTAATTGAGGAATTTAAAGATTGTGCACAGGACAACCTCAAAACTTACTTAGATGTAAAGAAAGTTGACACACTTCAGGAAGCAGCCGCTCTTTCTGATGACTACACTTTAACACATAAAACCACTTTACATATAAAAAAAATTCCTACCATCTCAACAAAAACATGTATCTGTTCAATCCACTAAAGTTGAGGATCCTTCTAAAAAATCCAGCTCCTCTGGAAATCTTCATACAGTCGGGCTAAAACTTCATCAAAACCATCAAGGCCTGTCTGCCATTTTTGTAAAAAACCTGGTCATGTTATGTCTGATTGTTGGCATTTGAAAAAGAAAAAAAAAGGAGGCAACACCCAGTGCGTTTATATCCACATATAGATATAGTTTCACCAGATCACCCAATGTTGTTGTTAATATGGCCACTGATATTAAAACTGATGTAATCAGGGAGGAATTTAGACCTTTTGTGTCTGTTGGTTCTGTGTCTTTGATTGAGTCGCCCCAGTATCACGTAGAATACATATAGGTATGGGATTGCCAGTGTCATTTGTCATTGTTGTTAGAAGGTATATTGCCTTTAGATTCGAGTTCTGCCACTGGTGAGTCTGTTATTGCTTACGGTATTGAGGATGGCTTTGTTAATGTTCCTCTTCATAACATTTATTTAGCATCAGTCCTAGTTTCAGGTCCAGTTGTGGTTGGAGTAAGACCTACTCTGCCAATTAAGGGTGTATCATTGTTGTTGGGAAACGATTTGGCTGGAGGAAAAGTTGTTGCTGAACCTAAAACGTTTAGTGAGCTGATCACTGTTTTAACTAAGGTTGATATTGTTGTTGAGGAGAATCCCGATGCGTTTCCCTCGTGTGCTGTAAGTCGAGCTCAGGCTAAGAAATTAAGCCAAAAACAAATGATAAACATGGATTCAGAGGATATTATAGTTTTGTTTCAAACATTTTTTTGGATCCGATGAGGATCTTGAGGATAATTGTCCTACTGATGATTCCTCAGTGAGGAACATCGACGGACATGAGGGATCTGATTCACGTGGTGAAGTTCCATTTACTAAAAAGTAAGCTGATAGCTGAACAAGAAAAAGATCTACAGATCTCTTCACTATTTAAATATTCACTCCCAAAAAATGAACTGGAGAAAGTTCCAAATGGTTATTTTTTCAAAAATGGTGTGCTTATGAGGAAATGGAGACCACCAGATGTGCCAACTTCAGAGGACTGGACTATTGTTTATCAAATCATTGTTCCCAAACCATATCGTTCTGAAATATTGAAAGTTGCCCATGAATTCCCCATGGGAGGTCATTTAGATGTCAACAAAACATATGACAAAACTATGAGACATTTCTTTAGGCGATAAATTAGGTGAGACATTTGTCAGTTTCGCAAAATTTGTCATACCTGTCAGTTAGTCAGAAAATCTAACCAGAAAATTCCTGTTACTCCTTTGAAACCTATCCCAGCTTTTGAAGAATGTAAGGTCCGTCCTGAGGACATGGTCTTAGTATTGTTACCCACTATGGGATATCTAATCAAAAAGAAATGAAAGAGAGAAAGAAAAAGACAGAAAGAAACAAAGAAAGAAAAAGCAAAGAAAGAAAGAGAAAGAAAGAAAAGAAAAACAAAACATAAGACTGTTAAATTGCAGTTTATCACTATAAGAGTATGATTTGGGGGTAATCCATGTCAAAGTGGTTGATAACATTTGTACTGATGCACTTTCACGTGCAATGCAAGTTTATGATCATAAGGTCATTTATAGTGGTTGTATTCTATACTGTAATTATCATTGAAGTCGTATAATCCTTTGAATAATGTATTCTTGTGTGTGTGTGTGTGTGTGTGTGTGTGTGTGTGTGTGTGTGTGTGTGTGTGTGTGTGTGTGTGTGTGTGTGTGTGTATAAAACAGCTCAATTAAAAATTGTCTAATGTGAATTTTTATTCTCTAAGGATGTAGTTGTAACGAATGTATTATTATATATTTATTTTAATGTTAACGTTTATTTAGATTACATATTTTATATCTAACAACATGCATAGCTTACTGTGTTAAATATGTATTGCGAAAGCCCCTCCTATTCTCCAAAGTTGTAGAAGATTCTTGAGAGTAAGAATCAACAATACATGTTTAAATGTAGCTCAATATTGTTACACAAGACTGAATTTTCTAGAAAACTTCTCATCAGACATTAGTATTTTTACAAAAACATTACCTAACTTCAATGGTGTAAAATCTAGCATGTGTGGCCAAGGACAAAGCTAGCTAGCTTCCCGGCGAACCGTACTTACATCAACTCGTAGTTAACTCACTCATCTTAATCCCTTGATAAGATATCAAGAGAGTTCCAAACTAGAAAGAAGATTCTATATTGTTTGTAAGTTTGTGAAACTTTTATTTATAAATCTTCGTTTTTAATAACTATTTGTGATAATTGTTACTGTAAATTGTATTGTTGTGTGTATATTAAAACATATTTGTGTTTAGAAATGAAGACAGTGTGTATCAATCTTTTTGGCAAATATCATAAACTGACAATATATCAGCTTTTACTCAACTACAAAATATATTGGCTTTAATTTAACTACTAAATCCAAAGTACAATTGAACTACTAAATTTGAATTATTAGTTAACTCGGCTTTGGACTATTCGAAATTCTGAGATGCAACCCCCCTCCCCCACTTCCTTCTTGTTAGATCATAAAGGATTTCAAATAAGTCATATAAAATGGCAGTTCAGATATATGTCTTATGACCTAATGAACTTCCTTGATTTGCCAACTTGGGTATTTTATATCATGATATCTATAGATATAAATCAGGAAAGATGATACATACTTAGCTTTAGACTAGTGCACAACACGAAATGAGCATTTATTCAGTATTTTACAATATGTTTGCAACATACACTCCGAGACGTTACACTTACCATAAATGGCATAGGCATCACCACCAAAATAAGCACCTGGTTCAACCTTAGCAAAACACTGTCCAACTGCTTGAGCTGGTTTTCCAGTAGCTAAATAAAGGTATTCATCATTGACATGAAGATTACGAATGCATCCTCTGACACTTTCTTTAACCTAAAAATCAGCATGCAAATGTTAATAAATGAATGAACAGCTACAGAAATGCTTTTAATGCAGTGTTTATACCAGATGTAAGAACTGTTTTAGCTTACTTAGATATTAACATGAAAATGTACAAGATAATTACATCAAGTTAAACTCTTTGTATACAGACTCAGTCATTTTCACTGGCCTTTTAATCACCATGTAATCACAAAACTATACATACTATAACTTTTAATGTCCTTAGTGTATCTACATCAAATTTAGCAAGCTTTTTGTAAACATTACAAGCCTTTTATGATCTTGTAATCACCACAAAAAATATGAGCTAAATCTATAATATCCTTTTTTCCAGAATGCTGATTATAACAGAAAATTACTATTGTTAATTGTAAACAGCATCAGGCTTGTAACAGTTTATATATAGTTATGACAGCGGAAGTCATGTGATGCTGGGAGCATGCGTGGTGAATTTCTCGAATAACTGGGGAATTCCGCGAATGTTGGAGATGCCTCTTTGTTAGTATATCAACCTGGCAGTGAAAAGCCAAGAGTTAAGCAAACAGTAGTTATGCCGAGTTTCGGGTAATTTATGATTCTGTTTCGAGCTAATGTGTGTTTTGCACTCGAAGAAAGCAAAGTTAGAGATTGTGAATTGCTGTGACTTATAGCGTGTATTATAAAAGTTGTACTGACGTACTGACTGTGGAATTACTGTGTACTAAAAGTTTGTATCGAGAAAGAATAAACTGGTTTAATCAAGAAAAGACTT